GGTAAGTACCAAAAGCAATCCGAGCGTATATTTTATTTTTTTTTTATTCTTTTTATAATCATGCATACATAAGTAAGTAGTTATAAGCTAGACTTGGAGTTGGCCACGTTGACAGGCGGCCCACTTGACCTTTACCAGCTGAATAAGCAGCGAATAAATATTTGTGTTTCTTTATGCGCAAAATTAGCAAAACAAAAAGATATACAAGAAGAAATCAATGAAAGAGAAGTCGTTGCCCAAGGTAAATAAACTTGAAAAATATAGCAAGGTGTCAAAGCTGTTATGAATTATTGGCAACATGCAATAGTTAATGGTTCGATCAATCGATCCAGCGCTGCTGCAAGTTGAACAATTTCCTTAAATAAAAAAATAGGAAAAAGAAACTGTGGCAAGAGACCAAAGTGAAGCCGGAGCTGGCCATAAAAAAATTAGCATAGGCAACTTTTGATACGAACGCGTTTGGTTCCGTTTTTTTTTATTTTTGGAGGCGACAACTCCCAAGTTGTTTATGCAATACCTTTTAAGTTAAACTGCAAACGTGTTTCGCCTGCTGCTACAACAACAACAACAACAGCCATTAGCCAATACACAAACCAGTTTGGCGACAGCAGCAGCAGCAGCAGCTACACCTTACCATGTAAACAACAGGCTCCATTAGCAGACGTCTCTCACTTACACTTCGGGCAATCGCAATTTCACTTGCCCTTTCGTTTGCGCTTGCCGACTCGGCGAGATGATAGATAGATGTATACAAAAAGTAGAAAACGTAACAAAAACGAGAGTTGTTTTGCTTTTAGAAGTCGTTTAGACTAAACCGGTTAAGCGTTGGTCTGCTGTTGCCCGCTGGGGCCGCTTAAAAATTAATTATTAAAAAAAAATAAACAAGTGCGAACAGGCCATAATTGCCTGGAGCTGTCGATTAGCACTAATTATGCGCATAATTAAATAATGACAATATAACGAGTACCAAAAACATTAACAACCAACAATTGTTTGCCAAGAAAGCTTTAAAAGCAAAATTACACTTAACTATAGAGCGGAACAGTTATTTTTTATTGCAATTTTATAAGTACATAAAAATAAACATAAATAATTTTATCAATTTCCAAAGTATATTTTATATGAAAAAGTAAAAAAAAAATCCCAAAAATTCTTTGAGAGCCTTCATAGAAAGTCTTTGTTACTTTAGCCCACATTATTAAAAAATAAAAAAAGTCTTTAACGCAATCGGATATTACTCAAGAATATATATAAATACAAAAAAATTAAAAGGAAGATAAATATTTTTAAAGAAAGGAACATAAATGTATTGAAAGCAATAAAGGAATTTTTATATAAAATAAAATAATGAAATAAAAATTATTTTTTATATTTTTTGAATTAAAAAAACTTATCTAACAAAAGTGTAAACATTTAATAATTTAAGTGATTCATTATACAAGCATAAAAATACAATTGGGAAATTAATTTTTTTTTATTGCTCCTTCTTTTAGCCCAACATCAGGACAAGCTCGAGGGCGTAGATGTTGAAGAAGTGTGCGCGGATCGTCCCGCTGATGAATATTTCCGTTTAGATACGGAGGGCGATTGCCGTGAAGTTTACAGGTAAGCATTTAAGCAAAGATTCTTAGACTGAAACTTCTTGTTATGCAGTCTTTGAAGATAATGATAATTTTGGGGATTTTGTTTTGTTTTCACATCAACATCAATTTTATTGCACTTACTCCAAAAAAAAAAAATACAAAAACGAAATAAAAAAAAATGAAACTAAAGGTGCGACAGTGCCGGAGAAGATGGCAGCAATCGCTTGGCACCGATCCGCTGTGCCGGCGGCTTGGCGTTCGATGTGTTGCGTCAGCTGTGCGATTGGAAGACGAATGTAAAGAATTGCGATATCGATCAAAGTAAGTGGGGTGTGTCCGTGCCAGGCATTGAGCCGAGAGCCCAAAAGTATACTTCGAAGAGCTCGACTCTGTGCCACCCAAAACTCTCCTACACAATGTCTAACACTCTGTTCTGTATGTCTATCTCTCTCTATCTATATCTATCTATCTCTATGTGCAGGTGTGTGTGTGTGTGTAGTGTGTGCATTTGTCACACAGCTCATTGTATCTCTCTGTAACTAAAACCAAACGTTCGTCTCATTGCATTTGTTTAAACATAAACAAACCCAAATCCAAGCTCCGCCAAACCCTCCTCGAAAAGAAAGTGCCAAAGTTCTGTTAGCTAGCAAAATAAAATTAGATTAGGAAAAACTGAAAAAAAAAACAACGAAAAGTGTCAACAAAAACAACTTTATTTTTTAGATGTACTAGGTCGGGCCTAAAAGAAATTCAGTGTCCCTCCGGCCTGGCCTTTGACGTTATTAAGCAGACCTGCGACTGGAAGGCCAAGGTGACTAACTGCGATGAGAAAGAGAGTAAGTGTCCCGATTGTTTGCAAGCCAGCAAATAAAAACAAAAACAAAAACAAAACAAAAAACACATTTGTACATAGCACTTGGACAGATGTATATATATATATAGATATAGTGAACTTTGGAACAAGAAGAACAACAAAAAAAAAAAAAACAAACAACAATCCTAACCTCCCTCACAATCACGTGTATACTTCTCACTTCAAAATTTAGACATTTATTGTCACTAACACGCCACAACAAAATCAAAGTCCTGCGCCAAAATCTAACATAGGAATTCTTCACCCACTTCTCTAGAGCCCCGCAAGGCGCAGCCCATATTAAAGACAGATGAGCCCATCTGTCCCGATGGCAAGCTCTCCTGCGGCGATGGCGAGTGCCTGGACAAGGAGCTCTTCTGCAACGGCAAGTCCGACTGCAAGGATGAGTCCGATGAGAACGCCTGCTGTAAGTGACAATAATAGTGCATGCCCAGGCTAAACTGTTTCCTAACTGATGTCCGTTTCTGTTGACAGCTGTTGATGAGGATCCCAACCGTGCACCCGAGTGCGATCCGACGCAGTGTGCTCTGCCCGATTGCTTCTGCTCCGCGGACGGCACACGCATTCCCGGCGGCATTGAGCCCCAGCAGGTGCCACAGATGATCACCATTACGTTCAACGGCGCCGTCAATGTGGACAATATTGATTTGTACGATGACATCTTCAATGGCCAGCACCAGAATCCCAATGGCTGCTCCATCAAGGGTACATTCTTTGTTTCGCACAAATATACCAACTACTCGGCTGTACAGGATCTGCATCGTCGCGGCCACGAGATCTCCGTTTTCTCACTAACGCACAAGGACGATCCCAACTACTGGACGGGCGGCAGCTACGATGACTGGCTGGCCGAGATGGCGGGCTCCCGTTTGATTGTCGAACGTTTCGCTAACATCACAGATGGCTCCATCATTGGCATGCGTGCACCCTACCTGCGCGTGGGTGGCAACAAGCAGTTCGAGATGATGGCGGATCAGTTCTTTGTGTACGATGCATCGATTACCGCTTCGCTGGGTCGCGTGCCCATCTGGCCGTATACCCTGTACTTCCGTATGCCGCACAAGTGCAATGGCAATGCCCACAACTGCCCATCGCGTAGCCATCCCGTCTGGGAGATGGTGATGAATGAGCTGGATCGTCGTGATGATCCCACCTTTGATGAGTCGCTGCCCGGTTGTCACATGGTTGACTCGTGCTCGAACGTCGCCTCCGGCGAGCAGTTCGCACGTCTGCTGCGCCACAATTTCAATCGCCACTACAATAGCAACCGCGCCCCTCTCGGCCTTCACTTCCATGCCTCGTGGCTCAAGTCTAAGAAGGAGTACCGCGATGAGCTGATCAAGTTCATTGAGGAGATGCTGGGACGCAACGATGTGTTCTTTGTGACCAATCTGCAGGTCATTCAGTGGATGCAGAACCCCACAGAGCTCAACTCGCTGCGCGACTTCCAGGAGTGGAAGGAGAAATGCGATGTCAAGGGTCAGCCCTACTGCTCGCTGCCCAACGCCTGCCCGCTGACCACACGCGAGCTGCCCGGCGAGACGCTGCGTCTGTTCACCTGCATGGAGTGCCCCAATAACTATCCCTGGATCCTCGATCCCACTGGCGATGGCTTCTCCGTTTAAGCCGAGGCCAGAGCACAGCTCTCTTTCGAATTCCTTTCCAAAAAAAAAACAAACAAAAACAAAACAAGAGAACAACGCATTAGTAGTTCAACCGAGAGTCTGATAAACTAAACACAAAAACCTACACAATGCAATAAATGTATCTATCCCCTTCCCCTCCCCTCTGCTCCGCTTTCTGCTCCCCTTCCGTCTATTATTTATGCAAATCTTTCTTTTTATTGATTCTATTCCTGCGTATTTCTCGACTTTTCTCAACTTTCTCTACTTTTACAGCTCGTTTTGTATCCCAACTTTTCTTTCTTTCTTTTGATAATGTTGAATGATAAAGTGGATTGTTTTAATTAACTACACAAACTAAAAAAAAAACATCAACAAAAGCTGCTACTTTGTTATAAAAAAAAACAATTTTCACAAAAAACCGCGCCAAAAACTCGCAGCAGCTAAATTTCTTTGTAATTATATAAGTATTTTTTATAAGAAAAATATAAAAAATATATTAAAAAAAAACATATATTTACTTTACTAGTTTTATTTTTAATTAGAAATATAATAGGAAAAAACTTAAAAATGTTCTTTCGAGTTGCATCAAGCGAAGAATCTGTTCCAAATCCTTGGCTTGTGTGTTTTCGAATCAAAATTTGCGTTCTTTCTAAAACGTAGGATCATCCGAAAGATCCAAAACTGCTCCCAATTTTGTTGGTCGAGGTAAACGAAGTTCACTCTTCCCACCCAGGTTATTGCCCAAGAATAATTTGTGTATAAAGTGTGTTCGAATTACCATACTCAGAAGCAGTGAAAATTAGCCTATCTGTAGTTCATTGTTTTTTTTTCGGGTTAGGACCGGTTCAATTGGAAGGAGCCTTGCAGCCTTGATTTTGACTAATCAAGATAGCCTGGCGATGTAAATTTTCTAAACATGCAACAGCTTGTTTTCAAATCACATCACACAGAACTTTTTCACCAAAAGTAAATTTCCAATTCTAATACTCTTATACATTACACAAAGGAACACAGCTGAGCCTTAATACTGAAGAATATTTAGAGAATGACAGAGATAAACACTCGAAATTCGCAAGTTTTTTTATTTGGGATTTTATACTGTGTAGGTATTGTGTTTATGTTTGGATCGAACTGTTGCCAACTTACATGTGCTTAAAAGCTTTTCATAATACCTGAAGCGGGAAGCGTACCGATAGCAAGAACGACGGTCGATTTTAATAGGTACTTAATGTCAAATTTTGGACTGACAGAGGACTTTTCTCAGTTAGAGCTCAACGCGAAAAGAAATTCTGGAAGTGTTCTGACTACGATATCCGGCAAACAGGAAGCAGAGGTAACCCTTAACATGACTGAACTGGTAAGAGCACCGGAAGCAAGACCCACAGACGATTTTAATTGGAACTTAATGTCATATTTTGGACGAACAGAGGACGGTTCACAGTTAGAGCTCGAACAGAATAAAACAGATCTGTTTTTGAATGCAGATAAGAGCACGCTCAGGGCGAACAGAATGCAGACTACGATGTCAAGCAAACAGAAAACAGAGGCTAAAGGAGGTGAGGATGAATACGGGCGCTTGGAATATAATCCATGGGCTATAACATTCGGCAATCAACTAATGGACGCCGGACACACCAAGGAGCGCAAGGAAAGCAAACGAGTCAGCGTTGCCTCAAATCCAGTAAAGAATTATAATCCCAACATAAAGATGAGCACTGTTTGCACCGGTACCACTATTCCATATGGGGAGCACAAGGTGATGAATTGGCTTGATCGGCATGTACATAAGCACGAGCATTCGAATCGTGCATTCTACATGGAACTGCGCCACGATCTGTTTATCAAGGCAAACTCGGAGATGTGCCATGACAAAAAGTATGTAAAATGGATGGATTATCAGGAATGCTCACTGCGTCGCCATCAACGTTTGGAGTCCTATATACCACAATATCCATTGCATCAAATCATCAGAGATTAGTAAGATTAGTAGAAGGCATTTTATAATTAAGTCTTTCATCTTGAATTGTGATTTATAAGTTCGAATGCATAATTGAACAGTAACTTTTTCTTTTCCATGTATTTTCGTATGCACACATTTGTTCGCATGTATATATGTATGTGTGTTCGTACGCATGCACTCTTATACCAAGCATAGACCAATTTTATGCCTTTCTACCTACCCTTTAATATCGCCTTTCTCTGCGTATTCATGGATTTAAATACGTCTTACAGGTTATGTGTGTCTTGCATATGTACGCATGCATGTATGTACGCATGCATGTATTTATGAATGCATGTATGCATTCACATATGTGCAAATGTATGTATGCATGCATGAATGAGCGCATGCATGTATGTACTTATGCATGCATGTATGCTTGAATGCATGTATGCTTGCTTGCATGTATGCATGCATGAAGCGTCAGTGAATTTTTGAAAAAGTTCAAGCGATCATCCTGAATATATTGGTGATAATTTTCATGCACTTTATTCTCAATATCATGTGGTTGTTACGCCAAGTAATAAGCTACAAAGATTTGTTAATAATGCCATTAATCTATGTATATTGAACCAAGTGTGGAGTGTCAAAAGTGGAATGTTCCTCAATTAGAGCCACAGGCGCACTTGTTGATCCCAACTGGTCGAGGCTAGACACATGCCATTGGGGCACAGGCTGATGCAAGTTATCCGATTTTCATGTCCAGACAGCGTGCCTGTCGAAAAAGACAGCGAAAATGGTAAATGACAAAAATCAATACCAGTCAAATGACAATTGAAGCCGTCCACGTTTGCCACCTACCCGTGTGCCGTTGCTTCATTGCATCCCACGAGTGCACACTGCCCTCAATGCCGGCGCACAATAAGTAGCGACCGCTGGTCGATAGAGCTAATGGGCACAAAATCAGATTAGAAACTGTCTAAAGTCAAGGCGAACCAAGAAGCACAAAAGAGAAGCATAAAAGCATAACAACAAAATTGGTAACACGCACCGCACGAGGTGAAGCCCGTGTTCTTCTGGGGCGGCTCATAGAGTCCAATTTGTTGGTCTGCACGCAAATCGTACATGCGTGCCGTTTGATCCTCCGAGCAGGAGGCGAAGCCAAAACCGCTTGGATGATACTGGAAACCACAAATGCAAATCGAAAAGGAATCGAACAATAGGCAAATGTTGGGTAACTTACGCAAACGGAGGACACATCCATGGTGTGACCGAAGAACATTTGCTTGTGTCCCTGTTCGCGTACATCCCACAACTTGGCAGTTTTGTCCACTGAGCCGGTTATATAGGTATTCATATCGGGTGACAATGAAAGACCCGCAATATCGCCAGCATGCCCATTAAAGTCCATAGTCTTGACGCCCTTCTCCAAGTCCCAGTGGCAGCTGTAATCCATGAACAGTCATGCTTAAGAGGTCGTCATTCCAGAAATTCTTGTCAACTTACATTTTCATATCACCCGAACCGGTTATCAAATGGCCATCATCCAGAAAACGACACGAGCTTAGAAATCCCTCATAGCCAATTAGCTCAATCACCATTTTGGCCACTCCAGAAGCATCACGATTGTTCACATCGTAGACGGTGCATTGGTTGTCCATGCCACCGCAGGCCACAAAGTTGCCCGACGGCGAGAAGGCGACGGTCATTACCCAAGCCGAGCGCAATGGTATAATCTGCACCTTGTTTGCCGTCCAGGTGTCCCAAATGATCAGTTTGCCATCCAATGAGCCGGTGACACAGTGGCGTGAATCGCCCGCAAAATGCACCGAGTTCACCTTGTTAATGTGACCTTTTAAAATCTTTTTCGAAGAAAATCGTATTTTGGGCACATCCCCCATGTCACCGCATTTGTCCGCCAGCGTGCAGTCCGCCTTCGCCTTTTGATCATCCTAGGGAATTCAAATAACAATGCAATGGAATTAATAGTTTTATAATTCTTAAGCGAATATCAAGGTGTAACCTTAAACTTTTGTATCATGCCATTGATCTCATCGTAGAGGGCTTGGGTTTCTGGATCAATTTTCGGCATGATTGCGCATTAAATTTTAAATCGCAGCAAATAACCGTTACAGCGCACCAGACCAATCAAGAACGCGTCGCGAGACAAACTAACGTCGAAATAAATATTTAACTTACACTGTTATGATGCTACCCGAGACGTTAATGCAATTAACTAATTGGATTAGTTGTTAGCCAAAAGCAATTACACATTTTGGGAAATATTCAAAACTCGCGCGCGCTTTACAAGCACACGCATGCGCAAAAATGAGGGCTGCCAACTCTTTAAAACTTAGCACTTTACAGCACTGCATGGTCACTTAACAGAAATACTCCTGGCTGCTTAACAGAATGTTAATAGATATTCCAGTTAGCGCAAGCTCGGATTTTATTTTGTCAAGTGTAACAAAAATTCCAAAACTAGTGACAGTCATCTTTAATTTGTATGGAAAATAAGAGATATTAATAAATATGTTATACGTGACTTAGTATTGCAAAAGTAATCGATATATATCGATACGAAACGAGCATCAACGCACAGCTGTTAAGCGTGCTATTTGACAGCTGTTCAGTCGCAAATAAATTTGTGGCCGCAAGGATTTGCTGCATTTGATTTTAATAATTAACTCAACAGCCAGACGCCAAAATGAGCCACAGGCACAAGTACTAATATTAAAGCGCATAATGGAAACCATACCATGTGCAAGTGAAGTGGCGCAAATGCATGAACACCAACAGCAACAACAATCTGAAAGCCTTGTTAATATAAAACGCGTTTCGCTGCCTTTCGAGCGGCAAAGCCCCATGGAAACGGATATGACGAAAGCCGAGGATGTGGCGCAAATGCTAAAACAGAAGCCGCAGCACGCGGGCACTCTTGTTGGCGTCGCGGCACAGGCACAGCTTGTGAATCTCAGCAGCATGGACAGCCTCTGCGAGAATGTGGTAAACATACCCAAGGAACTAATCCTCATATCGATGGTATCACAGGAGCAGGCTCTTTACAATCCCAAGCATCAGCTCTATCGCAGCACCAAGAGCAAGGATGAAAAGTGGAGTGAAATTGGCAGCCATGTGGGCTGGACAGGTGATATAGCCGTGCCGCACATTTTGATTATAAATTAATGCTAAACAGTTTATTGTCGGCAAACAGATGCGCAATGTAAGGCCAAGTGGAAGGCCATGAGGGACCAATATTGCCGAGAGCTAAAACGCTCCAAAACGAATACCAAAGGCAACGTCAAGTGGAAGTACTTCAAGGAGCTGGACTTTCTGCGTCCCTATGCGCTGTCACGCAAGTAAGTTGAGCCAAAGACGCACACATAATTTATAATATCACATTTGTGTCTATTGATGCCCACTTGCAGCTATCGATCACGTGGCTCGCTGAACGGCAATGGAAATTTGACATCGATGTCGCTGCCCAATATGAGCACAAACACGACCAGCAGCACGGCCAACGTCAATAACAATTCGTTTAGCAACAGCAATAGCAGCAGCCAAAATCTTAATCTGACCACCGAATGTGGCAAATTTGCCAACATCAAAATAGAGGAGCGAAGTAGCTCGCTGCTGGAAAACTGCAGCTTCGTGCCGACAACAACAACGACGGTGACAACAGCAACGGATGCTCTTGATAAGAAACCGGATACGTCACGTGGTATTAACGCATTCTTCGCTAGCCAAATCATGCAGCAGCAGCATCAGCAGCAACAGCAGCAGCAGCAGCAGCCGTCACAACAGGAAACCAATTGGAACTACTTGACTGATGCAAGTGGCAATGCCGTTGGCTCTGCCACATCCATAACGGTCACCTGCGAGACGCCGAATCAGACGTCCGGGAATACGCTTTACAATGAGTTTGTGGACTGCGTAAATGCTGCCAACGTTGTGAGTCAATCGTCAACGCACAATCATCAAACGAATGCCGATGAGGAGGACGATGATCCAATACACACGTTTCTCAATATGGAGAGCTACTTTGAGAAGGAGCTGATCACACTGATACAGCAGGAGGACATGATCTACAACTATAGCAATCAAAACTATCGCAATGTCAAACTAAAGCTGGAAATCTGGGATGAAATAGCACGAAAACTTAAGAAGCCAGGTTGTAGCCCAAAATTGTTGAACATTTCAATATTCAGCATTGTACTATATATATCTTATAATAATTATAGTCAAGCAATGCCGGCAGAAGTGGAAGGCACTGCGGGACCAATATGCACGGGAGTACAAACGTCTGAAAACGCAGCTGCATATCGACGCCACGTCGCGTTGGAAGCACTATGATTCCCTCGGCTTTCTACAGAAATATATTCAACAAAAGTCGCTGTGAGTAGTTAAATGTATACAGAGTTTACGAATGAATAACTATTTGTGATTTGTTTAATGCCAATTGCAGTGATGGAGACTCGCTGAACATGCTATTGCCCAAGCACGAACTTGAGGAGCATATGGCCGAATCGCCATTGCAGCATTCCGAGCCACAGTCAAGCAACTTGGATGCATCGCAAAGTAGCTCATCCCAGCTTAATATGTCCACACTGCCGCCGCTATCGGGTCCACACAAAGTCGAACTGTCTGCCACAATGCAGCAGCAACAGCAGCAGCAGAATGTGCAGCAGCCCAACGATCTGTGCGTGACCAGTTACGATGAAATGGATATAGAAAACTATATAAACGGCGATGTGGTGCATGATGATGAGGGTGAGGAGAACGAAAACGAGGATATGGAGACGACGCCAACACCCGAACAACCCACACAACAACAACAACAACAACAGCAACAACAGCATGTAGTTAACTATGAGAATAATGATGATTCCGTTTATTTGGCCGTTCAAAGCGTTAGCAATGTTCTATCCAAGTCGGAGCCCCTCAATGAGACGGGCAGCAACCTGGAGCCACAGCAGCAGCTGCAACAACAACTACAAGTAGCTGGCGAATATACGCAAAAGCTGGAGGTGCACACGCCCACCTCGACCAGCACACGCTTTCAAAATACGGCCAATACGCCATCAACATCTAGTCAGGCTGTCTTTCCAATGGGCGCTTGTTCTATGGCTGCAGAGGAGGATGAAATCGGTGCCTTTTTCAAGGCCGTTGCCATGAAAATACGCAGTGCACAATTGGAGCCCGTGGCTTTTACTGATCTGCAAATTGAGATATTGCGAGTCATTAACGAGGCGCTGCGTAATCACTAGAAACAAGCGAAGGACGCAGAGATCAAGATCTCGATGAACCCAAAAAATGGCTAGAATGCGTTGCGCGTTTTAGCTGTTAAGTGTTATTTTGAAGAATGATTTGGATTATTAACTTGATTTATGATTTCTCCTTGTCATTTTTTCATTCGCCACAAACACACATGCCCACAACGAAAAAAAAAATATTTATTTTTGTATATACAAAAAGTAATGTATAACACAAAATTGTTTAAAAAAAAACTGATAACAAACTTAATATGTACACTTACGAAATGGAACAGCAACATAGTGAACGAAGAATATAGTATATTTAAAAAAAAAAGCAGAAAAATTAAGTGTTAATGTTAACAGTAAGATAATATTCCCTGGATCTTCCATGTTACTCTTTGGTACTAATTGCATTGGAAGGATACTTCAACATGGGAAATTCTGTCTTAAGACTTGGGAATTCAATCAACAAACAGGACAACTGTAGCAATACTTTAATCCAAGCCCGACCATATTTCAGGCACCTAACTACCTCTCCTGCACTCAAGTCGACAGGGTATAAAAATCAATGCAGCTGGCGGCACTCAGCAGTTGATGTAGCTTCTTGCCGCATACTTTGGACAGCGCTTTGACTCCGTTTGCTGCCACCCAGTTTGCAGCATCTGTGCACAAGCATTTGGACAACTGCTGAGCAACGCAGCGAACTGGAGTTGCCTCCCAAGTGCCCAAGTGGAGCACTTGCGCAGACCACCCAACCCGCAGACAGTTGGCTCCGTTTATATGCTGCATATACATATGACACAACAGTTGCTGCTCTTATTTAGCCAGGCACCACAGCTGTCGCTGGAAAATGGTTGTTCCTTGGCATTGGCCAACGGATTGCAAAACGGGCAGAAACCGGTTTAACTGCTGTATCCAATGGGCAGGCGGCGTGAGCGAGACGACAATAGTCTGCCTACTTTGTACATAGAACGCATTGGGGGCGGGCCCAGCGCCATATTGCGGCGCATTGGGTGTGGTTACTTAACCAGCAGCTGCTGCCGCTGCTGCTGCTGCTGCTGCTAGTGCTGCTGCTACCAAATGTTATGTAAAAGTGAAAATTATTAATAAACATTTTCATTTTCAGGCGGAAGTTCGAAGCCGTTGAAAGCTAATCAAACGGAGAGAAAGCTCGATAAACGCAACCTCTGGCCCAGGGCGAAATGTGTTCGGCATGGAGACACGCTTGATTGATTCTGTTTAGCTGTTTGTTTTTGCAATTCATTTGCATCCAGTTCTCAACGGTTGAGTGCGTGAGTTTTAATTAAATCAAATATGGGTGTGGGCTTTCAGGTACTACCCACAAAATGGTTGACTTGTATGGTGGGCAAATTTTAATTTTAATACGAAATATTACACTCATGAGTATAGCCCTACGCTACCTATCTCTAAGCTTTATATACACTTGGCACCATTTTATAAAGATCTAATAGTTATATCTCGTTTAAGCTCAGCTTTTACGACTTTCTTAAGGTTTATATAACTTGTTACAATATTTTCTGCTTTTTAAGTATTTTAAATATATTTCTAGTTAAGCTTGAGCAGCACCCTTCCTACTATTCTTATGAAGCTATGAACTTAATATTTAAGCTCTTATGACATCTCCCACTTCAGAAGGTATAAATATTCTAGTTCAGTTGATGTACCCATTTCTGTCTGTCCATCCGTCCCTCTCTCCACCCGTCCATCTGTCCACCCGTACGTCTGTCCGATTGTCTGATTCTATGCGAGCCATTCACTCATTTTTAATGCGACCATACATATACCAGAAGTTATAGCTGCGGTTCTTATAGCTGTATAAGAACGATCGGTCAAAGAGTAGGTTTTTGTCTGACTAACTTTTTTGCTTTTTTCAAGATATCTTAACCCAACCCCGGAATTTACTATTTTAATAATGCTATTATTTATAAGCCAAATCTTTTCAAGATCGCATTACTATAATATATAAGATATAGAATCGATCAAAAATTAGTATTTGTGTGGTAATAAGTATGTTCTGTTTTCGATCATATTTTCATCGAACTCAGCCGTAAGGAAAATGTCTACAAGGGTATTAAGGGAATTAAGGATATGAAGATTGAGTACTTTTTTAGAATTATGTCTTACGGGTATGTAGATATGTGACGAAAATAGCGAAGTATTTTCTGAGTTTGGATAAAATATTTTGTAAAACAGAAATGATTTTCACACAAGAGCTTGTTTTTCGACCGATCATTCTTATGGCAATTATATAATAAGATTCTATGATATGTTAATAAGATTTTACTTCTAGGGAAGCCGACTTTTCTCAAGATAAGTTGAAAAATGAAAAAGAAATTAAGAAATTAGTGGTCCGATTTGGCCGGTTCCGACATATTTACAGCCAAAAGAAAGATCCTTTTACCCGTTAAACATTTCATGCTCACATTAAAATACTCTCTACAAAGGTAGAAAGAAACAGTTAAATTATAAAAATATGAGGAAATACTTAACGAAAATAGGTTATTGGTTGTATTTTGTACAAATTACACGTTGAAAACATCTGAGACGCGCCCTTCGCTATTCGGAACTCAATCAGTTGAACAGCTTAAGTGAAAACTCACAATTTTTCCGCTTTACCGTTAGCATGCAATTTCCAGGACGCAGCGACGGAAACTATTTTCGCGGCTCATTTAACGGGCTCGCCCGGCAGACACCCAACTAGAAAAACTCTTAAAAAAATATGATATGCACATAAATAAAAATATTTTTATTGCCTGCGGGCAAGAGTTACACTGTAACTGCTGCCACACTTAAACCAATTTGCAGCTCCCTTCTCCCTGGCTGCCCAGCCCTTGAGTACGGGAGATTCACGACGATGGCGAGCATGCCTGGATGCATCCACGCCCACAAACCTCGTCCTGTGGGGCCTGCAGGCAGGAAAAAGATAAAGTGAAAAATCGTCAAAAAAAAACTTTTACTCAGCTTGAGTAATTTTATAAGTATACGACTTGAGGTTCTGACTGACAGTAGAGAGAATTAAAGACGTGTCTCTTAATGGGTATACCCTTCTTGTTACGAGACTACAGGGCATGTATATAGATTTAAGACTCATTTCCTGCCGTGCGACGAATTTTTCAGTTATATAGCTGGAAATGAACGCCTGCAGCTTTGGGTCGAGATGAGAAAAATGAAATAAGTATAAAAAACTCTTCAACGAAAGTCGGCGACAAAATGCTGACAAACTGCGAAGTGGCCAGCTTGTGGGGAAAAACTGGTGGGCTGTTATCATAAATAAAGAGCGCCAAATGTCAAACGTTGTCCGGGTTATAATATCATAAAGTAAATGCAAGTGGCGCAGAAATCAAACATGCAACATTTCGAGCATGCGAACAATTCACGATTTATTGGCCATGTTCATAATGTTGCGACTGCGAGCACAAGACCGGGCCTGCACTTTTTTTCGCTCGCTTTTTTTTCAAACTGAATTGTTTCCGGGAACTGCTGCTCCAACACCAACAACAATGGCCCACAACAACGACAACAGCAACAACAACAAGAAAAACGAAGCGCTGAAAAGCTTGTAAAACATTTGTAGCAACTGCTGCTGGCAGTTGCAGCCGCAGTTCGCAGTTTGCCGCAGTTCGATTCAATTGCGATTCCGAGGCGGCTGCTACTGTGGACCACGTTCACCCAGCCAAAATGTTTTATTCATAAGCCAACAGCAGCAGCAGCGACAATATCATCGCCGTTTGTTGCTTTGAGTGTCCGCTGGCTGCTGCTGCTGCTGCTGCTGCCTTTCTGGCCACGTCCAGTTGCAGCTCCTGTTCCTTGCTCCACGGGCCCAGCCGTCGGCCTATGCTAATTTTGAGTAAACTTATCAGACGGCGCGCATCTTGCCCAGCCTTTGGCTGTTAGATTGCCCCATATGACCAACTCACAAAGGGGTGCTAATCGCCAAATTTACAACTTGATGCAAACGCTCAAACACACACAAAGACACATGCACAGAATACAAGACCAAAACGCAAATGGTCCAGAAAACAAAACGACCACAAAAACGGGCGGTTTAGTATCTGCAACTGTTTTCCTAGACAAAACTATAAAAATCAACACAGCGCAGAGAGCTACAATGATATCCACACACCCAAGACCTAACACCCCGCCTGTGTCCATTCCCCCTCCCCTCAACACACACGAGCACACTCAAAAGTTGTGGCAACGACTTTCACTCGCCCCGCTAAGCATGCTACGAAAAGCGTTACATTTGAAAAATGTACTTTTTTTCACACTACCAGCCCCACCCCGCAGAACTGCGGTGACATTGGCTGGCGCACAGTGGTACCAACTATGTCAATATGCTTAATAGGCACCTAGGGAATACTTTCATGTAAATATATTCTATTGAAAATCTAAAGAAATACTATGAGTTACAAGGAGTTTTAGGAGATTTACATAAAACAAGAATTGCTCTCTTCGCCGAAGGTTAAATACGCTTCTTTTCAATTAATCGTTATAATAGGAGCTATATTCAATGCCGAAAGAACTTGACATATGTGTGGGACTATATATATATATATATATATACTATATGTATATCAATGTCGATAGAATTTCGCAGATGTGCTGTATACATATGTGCTATATATATATATATACTTTAAGGGATTGTAGATGCGTGATGCATTTCGTACAAAAATTAAGGATGTTAAGAATATTTAAGAAAGTCTTGAGAAAATTCCTGATTTTCTTGGCTTGAATGAAATTAAATTAAATCCAACTCTAAGCTCTTGAGTAAATTAAAATTTATTTAATATTAAACATTTTTCCATTTGGGCATTTTTTAGTTCTTTGGAATTGCAATTGTTAAAATCCCAGCAATTTATGCCAATATGGAGGTATATAAAATAAATAATTTCGATGAGAACATGTATAATTCTCCTCAGTTACGTATTATATTTATTATATTCTTACCACTGTGCCTGGTACATTTATAGGTGTGTGAAATGGGGTTGCGGTGCGTTGAAAGGGTATTTTTACGGGCACATTCTGTTAGTTAGAAGGCACATAACACTTTGTTATGTGCGGTTGACAAAGTTGTGCCGGGCCAAAAGTGCTTAGTGCCTTAGTTTAAAGCAATTTTTATATACATTTTTTTTTTTTGGATAACAGATAAACGCACACAGCCATGGGGCGGGGGGTGGTACGGGACGGGCTCGGGCTCGGAATCGGAATTGGGTGCTAATATGGTCAAAGCGCTGCGCTTGAATGGATGGGCTTTGGGCTGCAACCGATGTGCGCAGCGGAAGCAGGCGAATTCTTTTGAGTCTTTTTTTTTAAATTTAAAGATTTGCACATGCTGATAAGCACAATAAATAAATCTCATATAAAGGAAACGGATAGCGGATATTTGCGGAATTTACAGACACGTGTGAGTGTGTGTGTGGGTGAGTCCTGCGTATGAAACAAATGGCCTCAGCGGAAGACATTTGGGCTGCTCAATAGGGTGGCTGCCAAGTCGCATATGTTAGACGACGCCCAGCTGGCGGTCTGCAAGCGTTGGGGATTGGGGAAAAAGTGCCGAAATGCCAGGCGCGAGAAGTTCAACACCTTTGGCAAGGCGAGGCGAGGCGACGCTCTTGCGATCATGATCCACTCGGGCAGACGCTAAAAAAGAGAATAAAATACAAACAAGCAAGAACCAGCAGGCCGGGCTGAATGTCAACTTTATTAAAAGAAATTATAAATTGGTATGCCAGTCAGTTGGTCGGCACCGAGACCGCGACCAGGACCAGGACCAGGCACCGGCCACTACTTCACAGAAACCGCGCGCAAAATTCCAGGCTCACACATCATTAAACGAGCAAGAAACTCAGCTCATCCGGCGAGTCTATAGAGAGGCAAACAGTCTGAAGTTTAAGTGGTTGGCCAGGCTTTCAGCCATTACAATTACTGACAAAAAGCATCAAGGTAATAATAAAAACAAGAGATACCCTACAGCGAGGGCAACACGAACAGTTAGCATGATGCACAAGTGCACAAGTGTGGATAATCACAATTAGTTGGGCTTAACTTTCCTGGCCACCCTCTCTTCCAAAACTGTGCAGGAATTCTTCAAAAAAAAACAAGAAGAGAGAAAAATTGCCTCGCATTGCTTTGAGCGCTGAGACAAAGACACAAAACTCATGTCAAGACATTTAGAATTATGATAGAGTTTTGATGTTGTCATAAAAAAATTTAATTGAAATACCAAAAATGGCAATGAAAACCGCCAGACGCGGCCCAGATGAAGACGTCAATGCGGCTGCCACTGCGGCCTGACTTTTAATGTGTATATTTTTGGTAGGCATTAAGTATTTATTGCAGACAATGTCCGCCATGTATCACTCACTTTTGTGCAGCCTCAGCTGGCCGTTGGTCAGTGCAAGGCACAGACCCAAGTCCCAGACCCATCTGCAATGTTAAAGCAAGATGTCAAAATGAGCCCACTTAGGCGCGACTTTTGGAAATCAACTCACGAGGCGGCAAAAAACCGAACTCCTGAAAACTGATGCGACAATGATGATGATAATGATGTTGACGATGATCATGATGATGAGAAGGATGACGACGACAACGAGTTGTAGACCGCTTGCTGTGCCACAGACCACAGAGTAGTCAACGCGAGTGGTTAACTCTTTAAGGTGTTGCCAAGACAAACAAGTTGCAGAAACTGCGAACAGTGTACAGGAAGACGGCAGGTTCTGGGCCAGATCTGGTCCACTTCATGGCTACATTTCAATTACTTTGTGGGGCACCCATTTAAATGAAAATGCCACACATTGCCCCCGGCACAAGCCACACAGCAGCCGCAGGCGCAGCCACAGCCACAGCCGAGCACAGCAGGTAGCGTCTTTCTGCTCCCCGCCCCCTCCGCACATATGTGACGACAACAGGCCAGAGGTACGAAGGTAAGTAATCATAATCTTAAGGTAATAACAGGCACATTACATGTCACATTAATAAGAGGCGGCGCGCAGGGCCGAACGTTTAAATTAATATCATAATTCATATTGCAATAATTTAGCATGTTAGCAACGCACATGCAAGTGCCAGGACTCGTTGTCCTTGCTTATTAATTTTATGTGACTTTATTTTTCTTCTCCTCTGCTTCTTTGGCTTCTTTTTTCTGTTTGGGTTTTTGGCAAGGGTGTGTGTCCTGCGGTTTTCCGCGTGTGTGTGCAAAAAAAAAAAGAAGAAAACCAGCCAACTCCGTACATAATGAGAGTGCGCCGTAGGCAAACATTTACATTCAAGTCCTTTAAGCTTGATAAATGAGTGGGCCAGTTGAGCATGCGGGCAGACACAGGCAGAGGTTGGCAACTGCCTAACTAAACCGGGTCATGTGGCGTATGCTTAATTTTTTCGGTTATCGATGCGGGTAATGGCAGCAGCTAAATATTTTTGCTGCTGATGCTGAGCTATGCAATTGCGGGGCTAAGGCCAAACATTTATTATGCCAATTTCTATATATGTTTAAAAAGTAAAATATACCATTATTAACAAATTCTTGTGCTATCTTTAGTCGAATAAAAGAAATGTGAGTGCTAAAATTGCCAGACATAAATTGTCAGCCACCAACTATTATAAAAACTACTAGATTTTTATTCCGTTTCGCTTCGAACATTCGATAAAATCAGATTTTGTCAAATAGACCATTAGGATGAAAATTGATTTATGGGCATTTTGGTGATAATCCTCACTTGAATTCATGAAAAGCGCAGAGAAAGGCGATATTTAAGACTAGCTCTTTCAGCCTCTTTTTCTTTGTCAACCCCTCCTTTTATACGATTCTTATAATTCAAAAAAATTGATTATAATGGTGTGTTGTATATAATTTAAATATAAAACCCTGACAATGTGAGCTACAAAAATCTCGAAATATAAGTTCAAGATCTTTAGAAATGACTTGTCAAGTTCTTGGGCTCCTAAACGTGTTATATAAAAGCCGAAAAAATGAAATAAAATGAATGGGTCTTAGTGCAATAAGCAACAACTGTCAGCACATAACTATCTTCACGTCAACATGAGATACCAAAGGCTTTATAATGCCGATACTCGTGCATCGATCGGGCGCAGTAGCCAATATCCACTAACAGCCACTTCAGGTATTGAGTGACTGGCAGACTCAAGATTTTCTTGTCTGCATTTCATTTTCATTGGCAGCCACTGTACAAATGTCAAAAACAATTTAAAATGCCATTTTTACATGACGATTTATTTGTTGACATGTTTACAGGCCCATTCTCTCTCGGTCTCCCCGGCGGGGGCCGAAGGGGAATCGCGAAGATTTTACATTTGGCAGAGCCAGGAGGCGCACAGCTGCAAAAAAAAGCCGTTGACAATCGCCAGAGATTCAGAGATTCAAACGGACCTCGTGCTGGATCTGGTGCTGCTGATGGTGCTGCTGAAGATGGACGCAGACAGATTGCGTGTTTTGCATGGCCAACTACAACTACAAGAGGAACAACAACAACAATGAGTACTTGTTGCAACTACAACAAGCAGCTTAGCACTTGTCGCCCGGCTGGGCCCAACTATAAATCTGACTATGGCGCAATGTGGCAGCCATCCACACACACCCAAGCACAGGAAGAAAGAGGGAGAGCAGCTGCCCGTTGAGCATTGACCACGTTTGGTCAGACCACGGTAGCTTCTTTTAAAACTCAATTTGCGCTAATAAATCGCCGAAAAAGCATTTTGACAGCTTATGATGCGCAATGGCGCGCGCATAAATCTTGCGCCGTTTTTTTTTCTCCTTTCGGCCCTCTCGCCCATTGCATTTCCAGCGAAAACCGAGCGCGCGGCATTGCTACAAACGACAAAGTGAATCTGGATGCGGACCTACTAACTGAGCAGCAGCAGGCGGCGGAGCTGAAGGTGAAGGCTTGAACTGACGACAACAGCGACGGCTACTGCCGGCATTCGTCATTATTTGTTCATTTTTAGCATTTAACATTCCGCCAAAGTGCGGGGAGCTGTCCTGACGCACAAACAAAGAGTAGCCTCAAGCCTAGTTGCCTCGTCCCAGTTGCTTGGCTGGATGGGAATCAGCGGCAATCGATGAACCATGGGCGCTTATCGATATCGATACAGATTCTAATTCACGTTAATCCATATAAATTTCGATTCCCCATTGTTATTATTAATTCTCTTTCGAAAAAACATAAATTATCGACATAATCGGATTAAATATTGGGCTGCAGATTTATCGATTCGCATACGATAAATTTAAATTATTGAAATTATCGATATTCCTCCGATAATTAATGTTGGGATTTAGTTTCTTTATATATTTGCCATACATAAATTGTTGGCAAAATCGGATTTAAAATTGGGTAGTAGATTAGATTAGATTAGTCAATTCTCTGGATATAATCTGGCGAAGATAAATTATCAACAAAATTGGAGTGGATATTGGTCTGTATATTAATCGATTCCCGATCTCTCTTATGACTGGATGTATCGATTCTCTTCCGATAAATTGAAATTATAATGTGAATCAAATAAGATATAGGACTACAGATATTTCGATTCTGTTTTGCTATTTATTTTTTTGAATTCCAAATCTTTCGGTTCCCTTAAACATTTTATTAGGTTCGTATTTTAATTTTGCACTTATAATATTTACAATTTGTTGTTAAATTAATTGTACAATTGAGTGCAATAGGAAGACACTTATCACTTCCATAACTGACTGCCTTTTCGGAGATAAGGTTCATCAAATTAATGACTTTCTTTTGAAGTGGCAACTTTCCATCCCATTGTCCACTCTGACTCTGGTTAGCCACTATTCCATTTGGTTTTCGACCGGTTCTTTGACCATCTTCTGAGCCAGCCCATAATCGCATTGTATTCAATTTTTGTCAACAACTCTGCGGCTGACCGTTGTCGTCGCTGTGTCTGCCACAAATTTAGCTGGCTTATAAGGTGGGGACTATCGCTAAACGTGCGCCTGCCCGCCCCAAGGCTAATTAATTCCCCATGGGCAACACTTTTTCGGTTGTCCCCATAGCCTGCCCAGGATTTGCATAGGATTCGGCTCGTTGCTCGAGAGTAAAATGAGTATTTCGTGGCTCTGCGTGCTGCCCAAGGAATATGTATCTGTAAAGTATGAATGCGAGTATCTCACATAAACACAGGTGTCCGAAAATACACAATTTTTTAAGATTGCAACAACTTTTTCCACATGACAATGCACACAGTAGCCTGAATAGCTGCCTCGACTCGGCCAGCCTCAGTGTCTGGCTGCTCCAGTTTTGTGGGCTGCTGTTGGCCTGGCCCCAGCGAAATCCAAGAATTCCAACTGTGCGCTCAATTGTTGAAGCGACCCAAGCTTAAAGATTCTTTATAAGCGCGCACAAAGTCAAAGACAATCAAAATATTTGCATATTACCAATTTTATATGCAAATACCCCGTGTCAGTCGTGAGCCGCCGTCGTCGTCGCAATGGCTAGGACTACGAGTCCGAGTTGGACTCTGACTTGGAGTCGAGTCTTTTGGGGACCGCTTTGGCGGCTTGTTGCTGGCCTAATGCAAGGAAGTTTACATTCCAACTTTACACAGCAGCGCGGCAACAAAGAGCCAGACAAAGAGTCAGCCCCCAATCCCCCTGAATCTACTCGCACTGCCAGCAAGTGGTGTGACAATCGCACGTGAGAGTGCATTGGACCTTGGGCACAAGTTCGGAGTCCAAAAAAAGACAGCGGTGAGGAGACATGGACGTGAACGGGGCGTTGAGTTCAAAGTGCTTCGAGAGTTGAAGGCAACGAAGGGTACAAAGCAAGGGGCGGACTACAATACAGTATGGTCTTTTGTGGTTTCTTGAGATTTATACAACTGAAGTGTACACAAACCATATGGGCTATTAAAGTGTATCGGCGTATGCCAAAGATCAGTGGCTATATTTTAAATATAAATATTATGCGAGTAATTGATGCGACGGGCAAAAGGTATTTGAGTGCCCCACTCAATGTCAGTCCAGATACGACTGACATTTACATTACTTATTTATAGCCTATGTGATACCTAAGCAAAACTATTTAAACAGACTTATAGTTTGCCTATTAAGCTATCCTGGGTGCAAGGTCATATGAAAATTTTAAGATCTGTAGTCGAATCCCAAGCTAGGCTTTGGGCTTAGTATTGTCTAGGCTGTAGGTCATGGAAGATAGAGTTTTAGAATCTTATAAAATTATTACTATACTTTTTATCAATATCATTATTGTTCTGCTTAGACAATGCTACACTCCTGGGCACTTGACCCTTGGGATAGATTTGTAATGAACTTATATTAATAACAAAAAATAAATTCATTTAAAAAAGTCTGAAAAAATCTGCTCCAGTTCCATGTACCTCCTATTTATCCGGAATATTGAAGTGTATAGCCAACTGTGCTTTTGTTTGTGAAAAGTATTTAACTTTTTTTCGCCTGTTTTTCCTTGCAAATTTTTTAATAAATTCCAAACAACATAAATCAGACTATGAACCAAGCAATAACGTCAACGGCTTGCAGCCATTATTACAAGTATTTTTTTCAGTCATTGTTGTTGTTGTTGTTGTTGTACTTTGTGTGCAGCCATCAATCCATTTAATAAACACCATTTTTGGTTTTCGCAACCATTTTTTAAGCCATTTTTAATGCATCGGTCAAGTGAGAGCCAGTGGACAGTGGACAGTGGACAGTGGGCAATCGACAACAGGCAATTAAGAAGCGAATCAAACAAATCGAACAGCTGACCCCGGTTGGAGGAGATGGAACCCCGGCCGGGTCTGTCAGCTCAACCAGCTTAATGCGATTTATACGAACTGGACGAACGGCTGTTTCTCTCTTAATTGGTCGGCTGGCCGCAGTCAAGAAAATAAAGTTGCTTGTTCGACATGGAAAGCGGAGTTCTCTGGACCTGGCACT